AGAGCTTCGAACAACTAGTAGTTTCATTACTAAATGTTTCTTTTCCTCTCACTGTGTATTACTGTTTATATAGTTTTATAAATAGAGCTTCGAACAACTAGTAGTTTCATTACTAAATGTTTCTTTTCCTCTCACTGTGTATTACTGTTTATATAGTTTTATAAATAGAGCTTTGAACAACAAATAGTTTCATTACTAAATGTTTCTTTGTCTCTCACTGTGTATTACTGTTTATATAGTTTTATAAATAGAGCTTTGAACAACAAGTAGTTTCATTACTAAATGTTTCTTTGTCTCTCACTGTGTATTACTGTTTATATAGTTTTATAAACAGCACTTACTTTAAAAAATTAAAGTAAACAAAAGCACTTTAATTACTACCTGTTTTTCTACTCTTCACCGTATTTTACTGTTTATATTTTACATCGAGCAACAACACACGTAGCTCTATCCAGGATACGGTCATTCTATCGGTCAAACATTTATATCCCTGAAAGTGCAAATATTGGGAATGTTGTTCACTAGAAAGTTTTGTTAACAATTGTTTCCAATGTGAATTGAATAGTTCGTTTTTGATCTTGGCTTGAAATACCACAACTCCGGGATAGTCCGTTTTAGATATTGGCTTGAAATATAAAACGGACTATCCCGGAGTTGTGGTATTTCAAGCCAATATCTAAAACGGACTATCCCGGAGTTGTGGCCCGGAGTTGTGGTATTTCATGCCAATATCTATATTTTGTCAAATTTTGACACGATATACTAGCAGAAAGACATCAATTGGAAAAAAAAACACGAATGTCTGTCTGTCCGTTCATTGTATATGAATATAAATAAGAAGATTTGTTTGTTTATTGCAGAGCAAAGCCACATTGGGCTATCTACTCTGTCCACCGCGAGGTATCGAACCCCGGATTTTACCGTAGTAAGTCCGTAGTCTTACCGCAAATAAGAAGAAAAGAAAAACGCAGAACACAATTACATGTTTAAGTTTAAGGCCTATTAAGAGCGACTCTCATGGATTCATTTAACTTCTGTTTCTATGTGTTGTTAAAATTTAACAAAAAACATTTTTCTAGTGCAAAATTTTTAAATCGTAATTTTCACCCTATCATCAAAAAAACTTTGCAAAAGCAAATTTTCAGACTATTTTCTATGTCGTTTTGTGCTAATAAAAAAAAGGTTACATTTTTACATTTAAAAAAATGCACGTGCAATAAATATGTTTGAACATGTTTCGTTTTTGTTTTTTTGAGTTTCGAATAGGTTTGCTATGTACTTTTCTAAAACTTTTGTTTACAAATTCGATGCTTTGTTGAGATCTAAGAATTCTGTTAACAAGTGAAAAAGCAATGATGAGTAATTCAATCTCTTGAAGAAGGGATGTTACAAAATCGTTCTGCTGTTAATAAACATGATGACTAATTAAAACATTTGAGAGTGGTGTGAGTACTCACAATATCGACATTGCCGGAAATGTTTTTTAGCTGTAAAAGAACATTTAGCAAGATTTTACGTGAATGGCCAAATATTAGACCTTGTGTGGTTAAATATTAGACCTTGTGTGGCCAAATATTAGACCTTGTGTGGTTAAATATTAGACCTTGTGTGGCCAAATATTAGACCTTGTGTGGTTAAATATTAGACCTTGTGTGGCCAAATATTAGACCTTGTATGGTTAAATATTAGACCTTGTGTGGTTAAATATTAGACCTTGTATGATTAGATAAGAATGCGAATTGAGTGAAATACCACAACGATACATATATTTTTTCTCGAACTTCGACACGTTATGCTAGTAGTTCTATAAACAGAAACTACTTTAAAACCAACAACAAACACTGTCGTTATTCTTTCTTGGTCCTCAATAGATTATTAATTGTTTGTATAGTTTTAGAAATAAAGCTTACTTTAAAACCAACAAAACACAACTTTCTTTACTAACTGTTTGACATAATTTTCATCACTAATTGTTTAATTGTTTATATCATGGTAAAAATACAAATAGTAGTATTAAATGCCCTGTTCTATTCGTTCGTGTAATTCGCAGCACGTGACAACCAGTTGATTATACGAGCTTGTAAATAGCAGTTTGGGAACGTGAAAAGTTTTATGTATGGTTAATATAATTAGATTTGCGCCTTTCTTGTACTGAAACTATTTTTTTTTTTTTTACATTTTAAGCCAATAGGTACTCAAGAAATATTTCTAATGAAGCAAAAAATATTTATGGGTTGTATAAAGTCCTATATACCTTAAAATAAGTAGTTTCTAGAACTATTTCTTTAAGCTTTACAATTAAAATTAAAAGGTAAGCATATTTCAATAACTTCTGACTGGATATGTAGGCTTAGAAAAAAATTTCAACTTAAATTTCAGATATTAAGAACCCAATTTATCCACTACTTACGCTTTTCAAAATTTCCAAATCAGACTATTAAACTACTCTTCTCAGTTTTAAACATCATATTAATTGTCAATATTGTTATTAATATTATTTCGATTGGCTCTAAGTCTAATTCTAAAAATAATTATTAGAATAATTACTTTTTCTGCAACCAGGTGGCATAGCGAAGAAAATCCTTGGCCATGTCATCTCTAATATATATCATATTTTTACATTAAAATCCACTAAAGTATTATCAGTTAGAATATATTGATGTCATCCAGTTTGTAAGATTTCTGACAATGTTTCAAGTCACATTTCTTTGTAAGTCATTAACATTAGAGAACATTCCGACAAAAGCTTTCTTTAAAACCAGTGTTAAACTTCCATGAAAACGTTTTGTATTAATCTATGAAATAGGTTTAACTCTAACATTATACAATTTAACTATAGTTATTACAGGAAAAAAGTACTCAAAAACAAAACCTAACTCAAAATAATAAATAAAAATGAAGATTGGAAAAGCCGCTGGTTGTTCATTGATTGTAATTACAAGACATGTTAGTTCAGTGTTGAAGAATACTTTCTGGGAAAATCACAGCTCTTCTACTAAACTGTGTTGAGGTACTGGCCAGTATGTAATGATCGTTAAAAGCGTATATAAATAACTGGTCCTATATATATATGTTGCTTTTGTAGTTTGAGTTGTTGTTTTGAATAAATTAAATTCTACTTCTATAAGGTTTATTTGTTTGTTTTTGAATTTCGCGCAAAGCTACACGAGAGCTATCTGCGCTAGCCGTCCCTAATTTAGCAGTGTAAGACTAGAGGGAAAGCAGCTAGTGATCACCACCCACCGCCAACTCTTGGGCTACTCTTTTAGCAACGAATAGTGGGATGGACCGTCAAATTATAACGCCCCCACGGCTGAAAGGGCGAGCATGTTTGGTGTGACCCACGACCCTCAGTCGAGCGCCCTAACCACCTGGCCATGCTGGGCTTCTATAAGGTAAACGTACCGATGTAATATGAAGGAGTTATTTGTTTGTTAGTAGTTAAACACAAAGCTACACAATGGGCTATCTGCTCACCACGGGTATCGAAACCCAGTTTATAGCGTTGACAGTCCGAAGACATACCGCTTTGCCACTGGGGGGCAATAAGAAGAAATGTTGGACAGAGAGATAATTGAAACTGGGTGTAACAATTAAAATTCTGGGATTCAACAGCTTTGCACCCCTGTAAAACTTGTTTTTCTGCATGACATTATTGTACTGCAGTGATTGATATATCACTTATTACGTTTCTCATTGTTCTGATTTCAGGACAATCGTTTATATTCACGATGACACTATGTGATTCTAACCCTATTCACGTGAAGAGACAGGTTTAGGTGCATCATCCATCCAAACAGTTGATGATTCCCGGTCTTTCTACGGAATGCCGGACCTCATCCCAATTTCTTGTTGTTGTTTTCAGAATTTTCGGGCAAAACTACACAAAGGATTATCTGCACATAACCATCCCCCGTTATGAACTGACAAACTAAACGGAAGCAAACCGGTCAACAGTACCCATCGCCAACTCTTGAGTTACTCTAACCGAATAATGGGATTTGGCTGTCATTCTTATAACTCATCCATGGCCCAAAAGCACGATTTTTTTGCGGTAACGGAACGCGAACCATAGACCCTCGGATTCACTTCCGAAATACTAACCCCTAGTCCATGCTGGCCCTTATGAATAGATAACCAAAAAAAATTAAATTTACTGTATAATAAAAAAATCGATACGAAACTTACTTAAACAGCTGAATTTTAACATATTAAATTCCTAATGACAAAGCGTGGTTCTTCTCCTTAACATACTTTTTTTTGTAAACTATTCATAAACACTATACCAGAAATGTCTTTAGCTCAGGCTAGGTTCTTTCTTAAGCTGGTTGGCTGTTTATGCATTTAGATCATTTCCTGTTTTTATTTGTTTTTTGTTTGATGTTTTTCATGTGAGATGTATATCTATCTATATAACAGTATTTGTACAAAACATTTGTGTTTGCAGGAATCGACTTCAAGCAAAAAATTATCAACTTAGATGGCATGCCAGTAAAGCTTCAGATCTGGTAAGTATTTCCAGTAACCTTTGTCTAGTATTTTGTCTCCTCTGTGAAAGTTTTCGGTGATATATATAAGTAATTTCTGTCTCATACAACGTACGCACAGATTAAAACTATTGGAGGTCAACTAACGACAAAGGCGGGGTTTAAAGCAACGATTATAGAAAAATAGTGAAATACCAATAGCACCATGCCCTTAGAAAACACGAATATAAATTTGGTATAAAATACAGTGATTGAATGAGATGATATATGTATATATACATATACTCTAGTAGGAGAGATATCTGAAGAGGTAGGACTCAAACAATGGTGGGGATTCACCATTTATCAGGCTTGATCTTTATTCACAAACTTCGTATGAGATAAAGATAAAGAGCAGATATGGATCAAGTCCACAATGTTGCACATCTAGAACTACCATTCACCGTTCGCAGTCACCTCTAAATAGACTTATAGAAAACTTTTTTCTGTTCCTTAATTCAGCTTAATTCTTAATAACGCCACTGATATGTTTCTGAAAGTCCTTAAGTTAAATATTAAGCTTTCTATCTAATGAAGAATTATGTTTAACTCAAATGTAATTAAGGCAACTTCTCAATTATTATACATTGACATTTGCTTCAAATTATTATAATTGGTAAATAAATCTTTTTTCGTGGAATGTAATAAATTAGTAAGAATCTTTGAATAATGAGTATTAGTTGAGTGTAGATTTAGGTGTATTAACAATGTAGAGAAAACTCTACCTTTCCAACGCTTGCCCTAAACTCCTTCATGCAACAAAAGTGATATTCAGCGGAAGGTTTATCATGTAAATCCCAAATTTTGTGATCTCAAAACTGCGTAAGCGTCATCCGGCATAGTTGTTCAGTCTACTTAACCTAAAACGGAGATATTTAATTAGCAAAAGTAATTGGTTGAGAGCTCGTTCCTTCATTGTTCGTTAAACCCGGTTTGTAGCTTTATAAGTCTTCAATCTTACCGCTGAGCCACTGGAGTGGGGGCTTGGGTATCTGCTGTAACCACCATGGGGAATCGAACCCTGGATTTTAGCGTTGTAAATCCGTAAACTTACCGATGAGCCACTGGAGTGAGGGCTTGGGTATCTGCTGTAACCACCATGGGAAATCGAACCCTGGATTTTAGCGTTGTAAATCCATAAACTTACCGCTGAGTCACTGAGGTGGGGCTTGATTGCTTTGTTTGCTTTAGAGCCGTATCCACTATGGGGAATCTAACCCTGGATTTTAGCGTTTTAAATCCGTAAACTTACCGATGAGCCACTGGAGTGAGGGCTTGGGTATCTGCTGTAACCACCATGGGGAATCGAACCCTGGATTTTAGCGTTGTAAATCCGTAAACTTACCGATGAGCCACTGGGGTGGGGACTTGGGTATTGCTGTATCTACCATGGGGGAATCGAACCCTGTATTTTAGCGCTGTAAAACCGTAAACGTACTGATGGTCTACTGGGGACAGTGAAGGGTGGCTTGGTTGAAGAGTAATTTATTATATCATGGCACATATTTAATCAGATATCTCACTCTTTACAGTCATGTACGGAATTTTTATACATTTTAAAATAATATATAAGATCTACTAAGTTGGTTATCTGCGGAGGTTGGACCCACAGTAGTGAGGATACAATATCTGTGAGGCTTAGCTTCTACTCAAAAGCCTTGTACTAAAAATACTAGTTTGTAATACTGGTCATAATGCAATGATTCGCTGAGTTTTAAACGACTCTATTTTCACTAAACGATAAACAATCAGGTTCAACCATCTTTAGCTGAGCATTTTGACGCCAGTCAAACACTGAGTTTGCTAGGTTCGTAAATGTCTGCTTAGCTGGATTCGTTACAGTCTCAAAGCTTATACATATGAAATTGCGGTTAACGTAAATAATCAAGAATAGTTGATTAGTAAATTAGAAACATCAGATTAACCAAATTCGTTCCATTTCTTTAAATATTAAAGAAAAAGAATATTTTAACTAATAGTTAGGTGTCCAATATTTTCAATGGTCTCTAAATACTTGTTTGAAAACCATTTACATAAAGGGTTTGGTCATGTTGTACATGTAGGCCCAGTCTGGCCTACTTTCCTGCTACATAAAGGGTTTGGTCCATGTTGTACATGTAGGCCCAGTCTGGCCTACTTTCCTGCTACATAAAGGGTTTGGTCATGTTGTACATGTAGGCCCAGTCTGGCCTACTTTCCTGCTACATAAAGGGTTTGGTCATGTTGTACATGTAGGCCCAGTCTGGCCTACTTTCCTGCTACATAAAGGATTTGGTCATGTTGTACATGTAGGCCCAGTCTGGCCTACTTTCCTGCTATCATTATAACAGAAAATAAACTGGGATCTGTGAGTATTTGTCACGTTTCAAGAGGTAAAAGAATCTCAAGTATTTTTAGCTAGTGGACAATACTTACTCCAGACTATCATCGATAAGCAGGACACAACAACACGAAATGTATCAAAATTGTGCTAAGGCTGATGAACGTCCCAAACTTTTTTTTTAAGTTACTACAATGATAAAAGATAAATTCAACATTTCTATATTCTCTCCATTATATGGGACAACCTTTCCACCGTATTTTTAATACTATTCTATTTAATACTATTTCATCATCAAACTCCTGGCTTACACTGTCGAGAGCTTTTTAAGAATACCGTTTGAAGTTGTTTTCATGAGTATCGTTTTGTTGTGTTGTATCTTTTCATGAGTACCGTTTGAAGTTTTTTCATGAGTATCGTTTGCAGTTTTTTTCATGAGTACCGTTTGTGTTGTTTTTCATGAGTACTGTTTGTAGTTTTTTTTTCATGAGTTACGTTTGTAGTTTTTTTCATGAGTACGTTTGTAGTTTTTTTTCATGAGTACCGTTTGCAGTTTTTTTCATGAGTACCGTTTGTGTTGTTTTTCATGAGTACTGTTTGTAGTTTTTTTTTCATGAGTACCGTTTGCAGTTATTTTATCAGTACCGTTTGAGCCGGAACAGCATAATCAACATCTAGAACAGTATAATTAACATTTTTAACAGCATAATCAACATCTGGAGCAGCTTTACCAACATCTGGAACAGCATAATCAACATCTGTAGCAGCTTAACCAACATCTGGAACAGCATAATCAACATCTGGAACAGCATAATTAACATTTGTAACAGCTTAATCAACATCTGGAACAGCATAATTAACATTTTTAACAGCATAATCGACATCTGGAGCAGATTAATTAACATCTGGAACAGCATAATCAACATCTGGAACAGCATAATTAACATTTTTAACAGCATAATCAACATCTGGAGCAGCTTTATCAACATCTGGAACAGCATAATGAACATCTGGAACAGCATAATTAACATTTGTAACAGCATAATCAGCATCTGGAACAGCATAATTAACATTTGTAACAGCATAATCAACATCTGGAGCAGATTAATCAACATCTGGAATAGCATAATTGACATTTGGAACATCCTAATCAACATCTGGAACAGCATAATCAAAATCTGGAGCAGATTAATCAACATCTGGAACAGCATAATTGACATTTGTAACAGCCTAATCAACATCTGGAGCAGCTTAATCAACATCTGGAGCAGCTTAATCAACATCTGGAACAGCTTAATCAACATCTCTCAACAACAGCCTTGCTCATCTGGCTTAGAGTTTTCTAAATACTAATATAATTAGAATGCACATTGGTGACCATTAATAGTCTGAAAATCGATGTTAACCCACGATAATGATATTTTGGGTTAATTTATTCCGTCAAATGACTCGCTTTGGTGGCTGAGAAGGATGTTTGGTGGAATCAATCACAAATGTAACGGAGTGTCGTATTTGATTGTTTGTTTTTACATTTCATTTAATAAAAACCCGATTTCCAACGAAACGACATCGGCGCAATGTTTTGCCCCAAGTACTCTTAAAATATTTGTGTTTGATTTCCTCCACAAACTGTACTGATTACAAAATAAAAATTGTAAAAGTAACACTTAAAAACACTTTGCTTTTATTTACTTGAAACATATATATGCAAGAATTTAAAAGATCCATGTTAATTATTTCCTAGGTACGCTACATAATTTCACATTTCTTCATGTTTTGTTTTAGGGACACCGCTGGACAAGAACGATTCAGAACTCTGACAACAGCTTATTACAGAGGAGCAATGGTAGGTCATTGTGGTACTTCTCACATCGATAGGTCACTAGTGTATTTCACACAATCATAGATTACTTGTGTATTTCGCACAATAGTAGGTCACTGGTGTATTTATCACAGTGGTAGGTCACTAATGTATTTCTCGCATTGGAAAGCCACTGGTCAATTTCGTAAAATTGTACTTACTAATTAGTTCAGTGCCTTTCTCACATTCTGATCAACGAAACTTAAAAACAAAACTTTTTTGGGGGTCGGACGCTGCTAATCACTTTTGTGTGTGTGTGATACACTATACTCTGTCCCTCCTGAATGACTGGCATTCTGATGGTTACAATGAACTTTTTTTTATTATACCAACAGTTATTGTCATAACAATGATTAAGGGTAGGAAGAGAACATATTGTTGAAACCACTACTGTTGTTATACTGTATTCCAGTACGATACCAACGAAATATCAACGTTATTTTACAAAATTATCTAACATTAATAATCATGCGTTTTAAAATTCATTTCTGCCCAATTTTCTTTATGTAGAAAGTATGTATGGTTCGAATATTTGTTTGGGTTTTTTATATATTTGAGTAAGATAAACGACTTAAAGTTGATAAAACTGCTAAAACACTCATTCTCTGGATTTATTTTAAGTGCAACAGATAATTAAAGCTGCGAATGGATTCTAAATGCACGATTTTCCGCACATTAGTTCACGATACTTAACCGATATTGGGCTGTAATATATTCTGCTAATATCACCGCAAGAGATCACTAGATTCGACTTTACACGTGGTTCGTTAAACCGAGGGAGAATGCTTCTCGATAATACGAATCATTATATTGGTGTGTAATGGAGAAATTTTAAAGTGTCCTTTCAAAGATCTGAACCCGGCATGGCCAGATGGTTAGGGAGCTCGACTCACAATCTGCGGGTCGCGGGTTCGAATCCCCGTCACACCAAACATGCTCGCCCTTTCAGCCGTGGGAGCGCTATAATGTGACGGTCAATCCTACTATTAGTTGGTAAAAGAGTAGC